CCTGTGCTTACAAGGTGTCTAGCATACAGTAAGTGCTCAATAAGTACCATCATTATCATGGGTGGAACACTCACTGTTAACCACCACTGAAGTGTCGGCTGGCAACAAGGTTGAGATGCCTCCCAGCAATATTTGCAACATATAAAAGGAATCTCTGGGAAACTTGAAGGCCCAAGAGAACAAGTAGTCAAGGGTGAATGCCCAGGGCTAGGACTGTATCAGGGCAGGGCAGGCAAAGTGAGGAGAACTTCAAAAGCCCACCTACTGCATTCCCCTCACCCAGGCCTGCCTGTCTCCCCAGGAACTGATAGGAGATAAATGAAACCACTCTTCAAAGCACACTGCTCAAGGACCCAAATCAAAAGGACAGGCTTGAAGATAAGCTTCAGTCTACTTTCCTTTTGTCCCTCCTTCCCACCACATCTTTAAAGGAAATTCTAGGGGGATGAAAAAGAGTTAATTCCCCCCTCCTTCTACTTCCCCATCCACGTGGCATTGGGCAGTGACAGAAGTTAATAGAGCCACAACCAGGAAGGGAGTTCAGAAGCCCTGGTCCTTTCTTCACTTAGCTGGATGTTTTCCTGTGACAGTCCCCTAAGCTCTTAGTGCCTGTTTCTTCATCTGTCAAGCAGGAATAATAAAACCTGCCCAAAGTAACTCCAAAAACTGTGAGATGACACAAAGTACATTTGGGAAAAGATACTTTTGTGTAGTTATACAGGCAACATTTTTAAAAGCAGTCACCCACCTTACATTTTTTGAAATGAGGCAAAATGAGATATAAGTAAATAGCCCTTTTGGGTAAATGTAATATTCATTCATTAACAAACATTCRTTGGACACTTATTGCACTGAAGCTGCCTGAATTCACACCCCAGCCCCATCTCGAAGCATAACAGCTTGAACCTAGAGCAAGTTGCAAAACCCCTCTGTGCTTCTATTTCCACCTCCCTAAAATGGGGTGATGGTTAGACCTACCTCTTGGGGTTTCTGTAAGGATGGAATAAGAGAATGCCTACAAAGTGTTTAGAAGGGTGCTGTGGCTCAGTGCTGGCTTCTTCAGTGATGGTTAAACACTCGGGCAATAAGAACTCAAAGAGGATGAGGAAACAAGGAAGCATCCAGCAGGAGATCAGACAAGTAAACAAATACAGGCAGTTGCCCTGGGATAAGTGTAATAGCAGAACATGACAGGAGCCCTGAGAACGCAGAAGAGGGAGCCCCTTGAGTCATTTGCGGAGCAGGCTTCCTGCAAGGCTGGCTGGCCTGGCTTTCTTCTGTTTGCTCCCACAGGTCCTTGGTGAACCTCTCATGCCCCAGGCTGTATCTGAAGCCCAGGAACCGGGCAGCCTGAGGAAGTGCCTCTGGGTGCTCTGAGTGGGGAATGCTAAATCAGGGCTCCTGGCCAAGGCCGTAATTGCTGGTCTGCTGAAAGATATTATGCCTAGGGAGGAAAACCAAGTTCTCTGTGAGACAGACTTTTCAGAGTTCTTATAGTGTTTAAAAAAAAAAAAAAGAAACGTAAATAGTTACCCAGTGAGATATTATTTTGTGTTGTTGCCATTAGGGTGTGAGTGTTATGCAGAGAGGTGATCATTCAGGCAATTTCACCCCAGCCAGGAGTGAAAACTAAACATGAACCCCACACAACAAATCTATCACCTCTCCTCCCAACCTGACTCAGGCCTTTTTCTCCTGGGCGGTGAATTTTATGTAAATTGAAGTCATGAAAACAAATCTATAAATATTCCACAATTTCCTAAAAGATTTTCCTAATGGCTGCAGGGGTGGGAGGGCATTTTTATTTTTTTAAAGAAACATGGAACTGGAGGCTGAGGGAGGGGTTATTCTCACTTCCTTAGAATTCCCAGACAGCCTGGGCTCTTCCKGTTGGTTCCCAGGACTTAGTTTTTCTGGATTGGGCTGAAGACGTTGCTCCCCAGAGCAACTGTCCCATAGATGCAGATGATGCAACACATCACAGCCATTACCTGGGACTTTTTGTCCTTAGCACTCACTCAGCATGTGATATGTATTGTCTGCTTGCRGCCTCTTAATGATGGGTTGGCCATTCCCACATGTTACAGTAGGAAACCGAAGCTTAGGAATTTTGTTTTTTTGAGAAGGTTAACCTGCCCAGGGTCATCACTGCRGTGTGGTTCAGAAGTCTGGCTCCCAGAGACCCAACTCCAGGTAATCACTCTACCTCTTAGTGTCCTGTGACTTTAGGTGACTATCCTTTCTATTCCTCATTTCTTCAGCTTGCTTGAGGATGAGAAGAGAACTTGCTGTTTATTAAGCACCTGAAATACAGAATTGTAATTCTTTTCAACAATGTCTTGGGGACATCCTCAAGCAGCCCTTGTTCCTGTCCTGTTTTAATAGTGGCTACTCATTACCAGGGCAATCTGGGAAGGGTTTGCATATAGGAAGTCCCCTTAATCATACATCTGCCACTTTTTTGCAAGGGAAGGACCTCTGCCATATGCCATGTACAGCAAGGACTTACATAAGCTTTTCAAYAACACCCTAGCACAATGCTGTGCCCACAGCTGGCCATCAATAAACATGGCCCAACTGAATACTGAGTTATATTCTCTCCCAGGTGACAATCCTTTGAAAAGTGAACTTCCTTTCAGGCCACTAGGGCCCCATTTAGGGCTCTGTATAGGTTAGTGATCCAGCTAAGTGAATGTCAAATAGTGATTGTAATAATCATTCAGTAGTGTTTTAATTAGGCCTCTGGCCTGGCTAAATATGGTTTTTCATTTTTTTTCTCTTAAGGCGATGGGATGCATCTAGCCAGAGAGACTATGCTGCCCTCACCAGCACCCCCAAAGTATTTCTGTACTCCTGTGTGTTCCCAGAGTGTGTCCCACTCACTTTAGGAGAGAGAAACAGGCCTGGCCTATAGTRCATGCTGTTTGGCACCACTGTCCCTAATAGTGACTATTGCTGTGAGCTTAGGGAGTGAGATTTTTCTAAAAGGACAATGAATTGCCAGGTGCAGTGGCACACACCTATAATCCCAGAAGTAAGGAGGCTGAGACAGGATTGCAAGGTGCTGAGGCGAATCTCAGCAACTTAGAGACAACCTGTCTCAAAATTAAAAATTAAAATAAAATAAAAAGGATTGGGATATAGTTCAGTGGTAAAGCACCCTGGGCTCAATCTCTAGTACCAAAAGACAAAAATGATGAATTATTACYTACACAGATTCCCCATCCCTACCCCCCAACCTGGCCAACCTCTGTTCACTTCTTTTCTTCTTTTCATTCACCACTTCTTTTTCCCTTCTCTTTTCCTCTCCAAATAAAAAAAGCAAATATTTATTGTCCTCCTTTCTTCTCTCCTTTTTTATCCCCCGCCCCAGGGTGGGAATTGACCCCAGGGCCTCCCCACATGCTAGGCCCCACCTTCAGTCACTGAGCTACATCCCTACATCCCCAGCCCTTTTTTATATGTTTTTTGGTTGGTTGGTTGGTTGGTTAGTTGTTGTTTTGTTGTTAAACCCAGGAGTGCATAACCACTGAGTCATATCCCCAGCCCTTTTTAAAATTTTTTCTTCTGAGACAGGTTCTCACTAAGTTCCTTAGAGCCTCACTAAATTGCTAAAGTTGGTCTCCAACTTGCAGTCCTCCTACCTCAGCCTCTGGAGTCATCGAAATCATAGGCATGCACCACTGCACCCAGCTTTTTTATACTTTATTTTAGGTCTCACTAAATTGCCTGGGTGACTTCAAATTTGTGATCCTCCTGCCTCAGCCTCCTGAGTGGCTGGGATTACAGGTATGAATACAAACCCCAGCTTCTCCTCTTTTCTACTGCCTCCTGCCCCCATCCACATTCCTAAATGCCTTTACTCTCTTCCCTCCCCTTTTCTCCCAATTTATATTCCATTAATCATTTCTAATACACATCTGCTAAGGTCCTAGAAGGATTTCTTGGCTTGTTCTCAGCTGGGCTGGTTACAACAACCAAGTAGTCTTTTATGACCTCCTAAGTCTTCCCTCTTTCCAGTTCTTTCTCCTTTCCAAGGTGTCTCTACAAAGGCCAGCCCTTCTACATTGGCTTTCTTCTGCTGTTTCTCTCTTTATCAGTGTCCCAATGGCCTTGGAGGTGAAAGCAATCCTGCAGTGGAGCTTTAAAGGTGGTGTTGAGAGGTTGCTGTGAGCAGAGCTAAGGGTAAAAGAGGGATAGTCCACAGCAATAAGGGAATCACCTCCCTTCCCTTCCATGCCTGTCCCTCTTGCTGCAACATGGGAGATACCTCCTATCAGGGCATCCCTTGTGGTTTGTTTTAACTTGATATTACAAGGATTAAAATTGAGGAAGGAAAAGCTGTACAATTTTTTTTTTCACCAGTACTGGGGATGGAAAAGGAGAGGGGTCTACCATTGAGCTACATTCTGTATCACCAAGCTACATTCCCAGCCCTTTTTAACTTATTTTTATTATTTTCATTTTTTTTTTTTTTTATTTTGAGACAGGGTCTCACTAAATTGCCCAGGCTGGCCTGGAAGTTACCATCCTCCTGCCTCAGTCTCTAGATTAGCTGGGATTAAAGGTATGTGACACCGCACCCAGCTAAATTTGTGCAATTTCTAAAAGAAAAAAAAGCAGTATTAAAATACCTTTAATATAGTAAATGATATGGCCTGGGAGCGGTGCCTGCTATCTCTTGTACTGAACAGGATAAAGGTCATGGTTTTTTTATTTCTATGATAGTTATTTCTTTCGGTTTGAAGAACCCTTTTGAAATCTCCTACCCCGTCTCGGGTTCTCATGTTGTCCCAAGGCGTTGGTCAGCACGCAGAGTCAGGAATGGGTAATCCCAGAGCAATATGCCTGGAGTGACAGGCCTGACAATAGAGTGATGGATTGGAACTTGGGAAAGTGGTATCCAAATGAGATGGTGACACCAGCGCGCCTCCACTGGCCGCTTAGAGCACGGAGAAGTGGTCACTCCGGAAGACCAGCTTCACCTTCTGATGAGCGGCAGACACGGAACTTTAACGTCAGGACGATGACTACGTAAAATCTCTACCAAGAGAAAAGCTGGCAATGCATATTTTATCCAAAAGGCGCGGGAAATCGAGGAGGGTATTGTTATTTTTAATAAAAAGTTTTTAAATTTTCCTGGGGAAAGCTAGTGCATTTTCCCCTGCTTGGGGGAAAAATAAGAGGTATATCTCTGGAGTCAGTGTCGTTCTGCCATGCTTAGAGAAATCCTCACCTGCTCTGGGATACCGGCCTCTCCCATGACCCCACGTTTCCCCCCAAACAACAGTAGGGTGCGGTACCTTGAGGAAACTTTACCCCTTCAAACAGGACTGAACAAGAAACCCGAAACACACCCAAACACCGAACCTATAAATCAGAGCGAAGACACTGCGCTCCCGGCGCGTCCGAGGGGTGCGCACAGCCCGGCGTACCGCACCTCACCAAGACTATCTCACCCCGGAAGGGAGTCCTCAAACTTGCAGTCTTTGACTGGACAGGCTCAAAGTAGTCTTTGAGCGACCCACGTCGCGCCCCGAGAATGGTGGATGCCTCCGAAGCTCGGGCACTTCCAAGTGAACACACCCGGGAAAGGCCAATTCGAATTGGGAAGGAGAACGGCCAGAGCTGCGCCTGAGAAGGACCCAGGGTCCGGAGGCTTGGCCAGCCCCCAGGCGACCTTTGGGAGAGACTCGGACTCCACCGTACCGGAGCTGGCTCCAGGCGCTCCTGCCCTACCCCAACGCCGCCTTACGGGGTGACAGCCCCCAGCCAACACCACTCCCCAGCGGTGGAGAGGGAGAGAGGAGATGTAGACAGGAAAGCCCAAGGAGAGTGCGCACAGCCCAGGGTCCCGGAGAAGTCCGGTCCCCAGAGAGACCTCGAGGCGAGGACGGCGCAGTGGGGTCCGGGTGGGGGGAGAAGGGAGGAGTACCGAGAGCGGTGAAGGCCGAGGCGGCGGCCGCGCGCCGGCGAGGGCCCTTTAAGACTCTCCCCTCCCACCGCCGGCGCCGGCCTCCGCCCGCCGTTCTCCCCGCCCCAGGGTCCCGGCGAGAGCTGCGATTGGGTGGGCGCGGCGATCCCTTTGAAGTGTAGCTGCCGATCGCGGCTATTTGACGTGCGGCTCGCGGAAGACCAAGGTTTTTGTGTTGCTCGCCGGGGCTAGCGGCGGCGGCGGCGGCGGCGGCGGCGGCGGCGGCTGCTGCGGCGTCGGTGGAGGAGGGGAGGAGGCGAGGAGGATCAGCGACTGCTGCACGGCGCTCGACGCTGCGGAGCGAGCCCACCCGCCCCCGGAGCTCGCCTCCCCGGTGCTCCCCCTCCCTCCCCGCCCCCCCAGTGGCGCTGCCTCCTCCAAATGAGCGATTCGCCCGCTGGATCTAACCCAAGGACACCCGAAAGCAGCGGCAGCGGCAGCGGCAGCGGCAGCGGCGGCGGCGGGAAGAGGCCGGCGGTGCCGGCGGCGGTGTCCCTCTTGCCCCCGGCGGACCCCCTGCGCCAGGCGAACCGGCTCCCTATCAGGGTCCTGAAGATGCTGAGCGCTCACACCGGTCACCTCCTACATCCGGAGTACCTACAGCCGCTGTCCTCCACTCCCGTCAGCCCCATTGAGGTCAGTCTCCCGGGCGCTGCCCGCCCCGCACCAGCCCCGTTCCGATCGCCACTGCTGGGCTGGTAGCCTGCTCCCTGCACCCCCCCCTCCCGGGCTCGGTGTGACACCCAGGTCTGGCCACGCTGGCGGCCCGAGTGAAGAGGGACGGAACAACGAGGGCCACCAGGTTTCCCTGTAAAAGGTTCTCCTTCCCCGCTTGTCCTTTGGAGATACGCGTTTTCTCTTGGATTGAATTTGCTCTGGAGTTCCCACTGAGTCCTTTACTTTTTCTCTGGCATTCAGTTTGCTGTCCAGAGGTGATCTCTGCTGGACCCACCCACCCTCACCCTTAGCCTTACCCCACCCCCGCTCCGGCGTGTTCTTTTTGAAGCACTGGCCACCCGGATCTCATTCCGCTTCTTTCCCATCCGGTTGGGGCACACTACACCCAGGCCCTCTCGATCCCAAGTCTTTCTTCTTGCCACTTCCCTGGGTGCCCTCTCCGGAAAGGAGGGAGGGGCTACTCAGTATGCCAGCTGCAGCCCTGCCTTTAGAAATCACCTCTCTCAGTTCCTACCCCGCGGGCGCCATCGCCAGAAACCCGTCCCAAGCGAAGTTCCCTCAAACTAAAAGCATAAGTTTTTCCCTGGGCCTAGAAGAGGGGGGAGATGACAGGAAAAAAGTCAAGTCACTCTCCCAATTCCAAAAACGGCACCTTTTTTTCCTCAGTACCCCTTCCCCTGCCCCATTCCCCAGTCTGGGCCTGTGGCTCACTCCCGAACCAACCCGCAGTGTGAGCGCAGTTCCGCCCATCTGCCCCGCCCGAGCTGGGGCCTCGCACCCAGACCCTCTTGCCTAGGCCCTTCTCACTCAGTCTTAACGCAGCCTGTGCACCAGGAGCCCCCCTAGCTTGGAGGGTCTCCTTGTCTCACCCCTTTCTCCCTCCCCTTGCCACTGTCTCCCACAGCTGGACGCCAAGAAGAGTCCATTGGCGCTTCTAGCCCAGACCTGCTCGCAGATCGGCAAGCCTGACCCTCCGCCCTCGTCCAAGCTCAACTCAGTAGCTGCGGCTGCCAACGGGCTGGGAGCAGAGAAGGACCCTGGCCGCTCCGCCCCAGGCGCCGCCTCCGCGTCCGCGGCCCTCAAGCAGCTGGGGGACTCCCCCACCGAGGACAAGTCCAGCTTCAAGCCCTACTCCAAGGGCTCTAGTGGCGGCGACTCCCGCAAAGACAGCGGCTCCTCCTCGGTGTCCTCCACTTCTTCCTCATCCTCCTCGTCCCCCGGAGACAAGGCAGGCTTCAGGGTCCCCAGCGCCGCCTGCCCACCCTTTCCCCCACATGGAGCGCCAGTCTCCGCCTCGTCGTCCTCGTCCTCGCCTGGCGGTTCCCGCGGCGGCTCCCCGCACCACTCTGACTGCAAGAGCAGCGGCGGGGGTGGTGGTGGGGAGCTGGACAAGAAAGACCAGGAGCCTAAGCCCAGCCCAGAGCCAGCGGCCGTGAGCCGCGGCAGCGGTGGGGAACCCGGTGCACATGGCAGTAACGAAGCTGTGGCCTCTGGGCGCAAGTCAGAGCCTCCCTCAGCTCTTGTAGGGGCCGGCCACGTGGCGCCAGTGTCACCCTACAAACCAGGCCACTCCGTGTTCCCGCTGCCGCCCTCCAGTATCGGCTACCATGGCTCCATCGTGGGCGCCTACGCCGGCTACCCATCTCAGTTTGTGCCTGGCCTGGATCCTACCAAGTCTGGCCTCGTGGGAGGCCAGCTGTCTGGGGGCTTGGGCCTGCCACCCGGCAAGCCCCCCAGTTCAAGCCCACTCACTGGGGCCTCCCCGCCCTCCTTCCTGCAGGGATTATGCCGCGACCCCTACTGCCTGGGAGGTTACCACAGCGCCTCGCACCTCGGAGGCTCCAGCTGCTCCACTTGCAGCGCGCATGATCCTGCTGGGCCCAGCCTGAAGGCTGGAGGCTACCCACTGGTGTACCCCGGGCACCCGCTGCAGCCTGCCGCGCTCTCGTCCAGCGCCGCTCAGGCAGCGCTTCCCGGCCACCCACTCTACACCTATGGCTTCATGCTACAGAACGAACCGCTGCCACACAGTTGCAACTGGGTGGCAGCCAGTGGGCCCTGCGACAAGCGCTTCGCCACCTCGGAGGAGCTGCTCAGCCACCTACGGACTCACACGGCCCTGCCTGGCGCCGAGAAACTTCTGGCCGCCTATCCTGGGGCCTCGGGCCTGGGCAGCGCCGCTGCTGCGGCTGCAGCCGCAGCCTCCTGCCATCTGCACCTCCCCCCGCCCGCCGCCCCTGGCAGTCCTGGATCGCTGTCATTGCGGAGTCCACACACTTTGGGGCTAAGCCGGTACCACCCCTATGGCAAGAGCCACTTATCCACAGCTGGGGGCCTGGCCGTGCCATCCCTCCCTACAGCCGGACCCTACTACTCGCCATATGCGCTGTACGGACAGAGACTAGCCTCAGCCTCGGCTCTCGGATACCAGTAACTACAACTCTGACCCCTACCCAACCCTCCTCTCCTCCCCTCCTCCCTTGTCCCCCCACCGCCTCCGTCACCGCTGAAGCCTCCACTACTGCTTATCCCTGCCGGGATTCCCGCCCAGACCCTCCCCACTGGACTGTATTTATTTACTATAATGTTAGCTTACAAGCTGGGAATATAAGTGCATTAACGGCCCACACGAGTCAATGGTATGCAAAAAGTCTATGTTCCCCCAAATAATAATATTAACCACGCAGATAACTACATGACCCTGCCCTTTTTCCTTTTATTTTTTCCTTAGATATAAGTTTTAAATTTTTAATCCTTTTTTATTATTGGTTTGGTTTTAGGGAGAGGAGGGACAGTTGGGGTTCTTGGATTCTTCTATATGTTTCGTTTTCCCTTCCTGGGGAGTTTCTTGCATGAGTCTTAACCATTAAAACTACATATCCCTTCTCCTTTCCCCTCTTTCCCCTTCACTCCCTCTTGTTTCTTCAATTTGAGGTTGGTTTCTTTCCCCCCTTTCTACAAGTAGCAAAGAGGAGTTGTTTTGTTTTGTTTTTAGTAACAATTTTGGGGTGTGGAAGGGGCAAGCTTGGTGGCTGGAGGTCTTGAGCTCTATTGATCCCTCTGCAATATCCCTCCCTCTTCTTCGAGGGCCCTTGGTCTGGGCCCCGGCCCCCAAAATACAGCCTGGCCCCCTAACCTTGCGCTGAGCCCGGTGTGCCCCAACTCCACCAGCAGGCTTCCCCCATCCGTGAGCCCAATGGTCTGGACAGAGCCTGCCTGCTCTAGGCCCTAACACCCCGTATTCACACTGCCGGCTGGTGAGACACCTGTAGGGCTCATCCTATTCAATTAAAAGTCCTAGAAAGCCCTGCTGGTGTGAAACTTTGCTCTTTATATTTTGCGAAGTGCTTTATCGTCATTGTTTTTTCTCTCCCTAATTGGGGCTGTACCCCTCCACTGACGGCAGGGGCGGGGTCGGCGATCCTCTATGGATCCCTCCAAAGCAGACCAGTCGCGAAGTCAGCGGATGGTGCAACCTCACTAGGTCCAGGGGGGTTGGGGGGGAGTTGGGGACTCAGGGAGCACTCGGATGGTAGCAGCCCCCCCGAACTCTCCCAGGCCCGACCCAGCAATCCCCAAAGTTGGCTGTGGGTTTCCGTGGGTTCCGCAGTGACTGGGATGGAAGACTCTGGCCCCTGTGTCTTCTCCCCCCATTCTTTCCTCCCTCCGGGTCTCATGCAGCAGTGCGAGGGCTGCGGGGCCTGTTTGGGGTGAATAGAGCTCTCCCTTGGTAAGACTTATTTTGTTAATAAATGGAATACTTGGCTATATTCACACCGTGGTGTGTTTCTCTCTTGCCTCACCCACCGTCCCACTTCCAGACACCTAAGCAGATGCCCGTCTTTTATTTCTGTTTAAAATGCCTTAGGGTTTCCTTCTGAGATTGCTGTACAGGGAAGAGTTTAACGCCCTTCCTTAAATGAGAGAGTAGGGGCCTGCCAACACATTGCAAATTACAAACCCACCTTTATTCTTTTCCCACTTGGTTATTTAGCTCTCGGCCTCACTTGAAAGGCCTTGGCATTTTCTGGGGTCGGGGTGGAGGGCATGTATAAAAATGGATCTTCCTCTGGGCCCAAATTCTAGGTGCAAGGGGCTAAAAGGGAACCATGATCCAGGGCCCAAACAGCAGCCGCAGCACTGTCCCAAGCCCGGCAGGAGCGCAGGTAGAGACGACGTGCCTCTGGCGCCACCTGGTGGCAGAAAGATGAGCGACAGGCGGAGAGAAACTGACTCCCGCCCCGACCACACACCTTCTGCGCTTCGCATTCCCTAAATTCGGAGGACTTCTACTTGCCATTTTTGTTAGGGGTTTCCTCCCTTACCTGAGCAAAGGGTGAATACACATTCTGAGAGGTTGTTTCTCTAGGCTTGGAAGCTCTCCTCGGCCAGCGCTGGTTTATGGACCTGGGTCATCTGCGAGTGTGAAAACTCTGGAACTGGGTTTGGGTTTTGCTGAGAAGGCGCGGTGATTATTTGGGACTTTGAAGTCATTCTTGTCCCGAGTACCAGAATGGCAGCCTGGTTCCTCTTTCTTGAGCTCGATGACAGATGCTAGCTTCTACAACCTCTGGCAGTCGAGGGTGGAAGTGCTATTTGCTAGGGTATTTATTGACCAGTGCACTTGCCCATTGCATGGGATAAAGGGCCCGCAGTGAGTGTCGAGCCCTGGCGCTGAGCCTGATCGTGCCTAGTACTGACTTGCTCCCCTCCCGCCCCAGGGGCGAAAGTGGAATGTTGCAGCAGAAACCTCTGGGCTCGGACCCCAGTTGCCTGTCACCCGAAGCCTGCTCCAGCAGACCGCGGGCGCTCGCCCTCGGTACGGAGGCCTCTGACCAGACCCGTTGCTCCCGCGCCCCCTCCTGGCTGAGCTTCTCTACACCCGCACCGCGCGGCTTGGGGATCTTTTGGTGATGTTGTGCTTTGCTTTTTCTGTGAGGGGTATGACTTATTAAGTAGTTTGTGCTAGGCAGACTGCGTAGTTCTGAAAACGTCTGTAACCAGAGGTCAAGTTCGGAAGGTGGCACTGCTCTCAGCCTTGCTGTTGCTGTTGCAGTTGCACACAAACTTCGACCACAGAATTCTAGGGTGGGTCTTGGCTGCGCTAGCTTCGCTGGGGGCCGCGCCACTTCAGGCTGCTGGATACCACCTCGGGATTCCACAGGGCCTCAGCATAAGTCGTGTGTGTGTGTGTGTGTGTGTGTGTGTGTGTGTGTGTGTCCCAAATCTTCATATGTGCGCAAAACTCCTCCGTCATTCAAGAGAACATCAGGATTCCGTTGCAATGTCAGTGCTGGCATATCCTAGAGAAAGGAAGCTGGACTGCGGTGTCACCCGGCACCGGGAGGACCCCAGACCCAGGGAGGCTGAATGCGCTGAGAAAGTCATCCTGACCTCAATCCAGGACATTCCTGGGGAATCAGCATTGTCTGATTTCTCAGGGTCCAAGCTGGCCTGAATTTTTAAAAGACCAGGAATGTAGAGATTCCTTGCCCTATTTTTTTTTCATTTTCACTTTTTTTGTTGTTGTTTATTTTTTATTTTCATCTTCCATTCAAATCCCCCCTTTTCCCCAGTCACACTTTTTGTTTCATTTTCAATGCCTTCTAAAATTGGTGGAAATTGCTCCCGGACCTGCAGGATCTCAACTTTTGTCTTTCTTGCACTTCATGGTCTTCAGACCTTTCTCCCAAAGAACAGAAAGGTCTTCTTGGCAAGGGAAGTAGGAAGACATAATATCGCCACAGTTAGAAAATTCTCCCTGTACCCAAAGAAAGTTTTCTAATAACTGCTTGGTTCACACTTCAGGAGTGAAAATGCAGGTTAGAAAACTTAACTATTGAATTTCCCCTACAAAATGTATTGACAGCCTGGACAGGGAACAGTGCTGCTGAATCAATCTGGTTGAGTTAAACTGTGCCCCCTGCCCAACTACTATAGTATCATCAAAAGAACAGGTAATGTAGTCGGGAGTGTCCACCTCCTTACCCTGACACAACAGCGCTCCCCACTGGTAAATTGGTAATATTCCTAAGAAACATGGCTGTGGCCATTTTAATTAGCTGGTGGGAAGTTTGCTACTTACAATGGCTTATTCCCATTAACCAAAGTTGCCATTTTAATAGAAAGGGTACTCCCCCACCAATTGCTTATTTGCATAATTAATTCACACAGCAACCCTTTCTCTGAAATTCACCTCCACCTTCTGTCTCTTTGCCTCCTTCTCTTTGCAGCTTTCCTCCCACCCACCCCCCCTCCTAATCTCTCCCAGGTGCCAGAAACCAGTCCTGTGTTACCAAGGCACCAGGGTGGAAGCCACAGAGCTGGAACTTGAGATACTGGACGTTCCTGGCTCCAGGTCCTATTTTCACACCTCTAGCTGGGTTATTTTTGTGGCCTTGTGGGTAGCAGAGAGAGAAGTAGAAAAGGAGGGGAAAGACTCCACCTCGGATATAGGTTTGACTCAAAACAGAATTGTATGGCAGTGTTTTACCTTCCCAACCATCCACCCCCAAGCCCATCTCCTGAGAAATCTGCAGCCCAAGCACAGCACCATCTCTATGCAGCCGTAATTGCCTTGCCCTACCCAGAATACTGTGATTGTGTCTCTCAATATATGAACAAACTCCCTCCTGGTGTACGTCTGGGTAACAGTGGAATTCGTCTTACAATAATCCTGTGGCTCTGAGCTTTATTAATCATTCTGTAGGGGAAGCTGCACTCCAGTTTTCTGTTTGATTTGATTTCATTCATCCTGTCTTTTTGCAAAATAGATGGTTGAGTGCATCCGATAATGTATGGTTTAATTTGGAGCACTATGGGTTTGAATTACCATTTTCATAATGTGCTGTGCATTAATGTGTTACATCATTTATAAAGAAGAATGTGCTGGGTTTCAAACTTTCTCCTGAAAGACAAAGTCACCTAAAGGAAACAAAGCCAAATCACACCAACCCATCTTCTTATCTCCCTGCCAGAGAAACTCCTACCTCCCCAACTCAGGTTAAATCTGCCAAAGTTCATAAAACGCGACCTAAGGTTTTTGTAGTCACATAATGCAGGTGGGTGTGGAGGTTTGGGGGGAACTTGCACAAGGCTGCCCGGGAGCCATCATTGGCAGTACAAAGCTCCCCCTCATTATTGCCTAACAACAGCTTTGCAGCCAACTGCGTTTGCGTTTGCAGAGACCTCCAGTGGATGGCTCTGGGTCGACCCTAATCCCAGCACTCCCTCCCCAATGGCTGTAATAACACCAGCTGTCTGTTACTCAAACTCTGACTGAGGAGGAAAAAGCACTGATTATCCAAATACAGTCATTAAAGGGGAAATGTGTTTTTAGGACTGTCAGAGTGATTAATGAGGGCTAGCCGTCTTTGCAAATGCACTTGTTTAGTCTAACTGGCAGCTTCTATTTTCCTATTGATTTATTGCAGCCGTTGCCGGGCCTTGGTGTGTGCGAAGTCAGGGCACTTCACAACTGTGCCCTGTTTAAACAGGAAAAGCATGCACCATTTTGTCCGGGAGGGAGGGAGCAGCCTAAAGTCTCTCCCTTCAGTTCAGTCTCCAGGGGCCCAGACCAACAAAGAAGACATTAAAAACCTGCAGCCCAGAGAGAGAAGGAAACT